AAAAAAAAAAAAAAAGAAAAAAAAAAGACACCTGGGAAGCGATGTGGAAAGATCATAAAAATAATTTTTTAAAAAATGAAAAAAAAAGGTGGAAGTTAAAAACAGCAGGTACTTCATATAAAAACATCACACAGTGATGCCCATCTATGTAGAAGGAGAATTCTATCCTCTCCAGCTCTGCAGCTACCTCTACCAAGAAGTATGTCATGGAAGAGGTCAGAACAGCGTGATACAAATCCCATGTGCAACACTGTGCACTTGGCTCTTTAAAAGACACCCGGGGTTTAAATCAATCATGGTGGTTTTGCCATAGTTGCAATAAGCTTGGGTCTCTCTGGCTTGTGTTAGGGTGGCACCACCAGGGTCAAGGTGCTCCCACAGGAGGGAGCAATGGCAGGTGGCAGCCGGCGTGGAGAGCAGTTACAGGAGGGTTTACATACTCACTGTTGAGCAGCTACTGTGTGCCATGCCACGTTTGGAACACTGGAGGGGGGACGAGGAATGAATAGATACAGCCCCAGCCCATCTGAAGATACAAAATTGCAACAACAGACAGGCTCAAAGTGCAGGGGAAGCTACCCTGCAGCTCTCCTGCCCTGCCACTGCACCGCATCACACTGACTCACCTTCCTAATGTGCCTTCACACTAACAGCCCTGAGTCACCAAGAAAAAGGCCAAGTCCTCACAACTGTAATCCCAGCACTTTGGGAGGCGGAGGGGAGGCGGATCACTTGAGGTCAGGAGTTCGAGACCAGCCTGGCCGACATGGTGAAACCCCCGTCTCTACTAAAAATACAAAAATTAGCCAGGCATGGTGGCGCAGGCCTGTAATCCCAGCTACTAGGAAGGCTGAGGCAGGAGAATTGCTGGAACCTGGGAGATGGAGGTTGCAGTGAGCCGAGATCGTGCCACTGTACTCCAGCCTGGGGGACAAGAGCAAAACCTTGTCTCAAAAAAGAAAAAAAAAATACCAAATCACCCTTACCCCAGCCTCTACAAAAACATGGAAGCAGGCCGGGCGTGGTGATTCATGCCTGTAATCTTAGCACTTTGGGAAGCTGAGGCAGGTAGATCACCTGAGATCAGGAGTTCAAAATCAGCCTGGCCAACATGGCGAAACTCCACCTCTACTAAAAATACAAACATTAGCCATGCCTGTGGCAGGCGCCTACAATCCCAGCTACTCTTGAGGCTGAGGCAGGAGAACCGCTTGAACCGAGAGGCAGAAGTGGCAGTGAACTGAGATCATGCCACTGCACTCCAGCCTGGGTGAAAGAGAGAAACTGTCTCAAATAAATAAATAAATAAAACCACAGGAGCAAGCAGCATGCTTAGGAAAGCTATCCCTCAAAAAGCAAAAACATAAAAATAAACAAAAAGGGAAAGACATCCATCAAGAATAATTAACTTTGGTTTGGAATGAACATGTGTCTGTGATGTAATAAATACGCTTAGGCAGAACACAGCATCCCCTGGCGATGCCAGAGAAAGACATGCTGTCACACTTGGCTCCCAGAGGCAGGGTGGGTGCCCTTGGCTCTCTCCGCCACACGCCATGCCTGCCCTGCTTCAGCCCGGAGCTCAGCTGGCCAGCAAAGGAGGCCTAGTGAAGGAACACTGGCAGCTGGCCACTGGGATGTGACCAACAGTTCTGCTTCTAAAACACGTGGACACTCATGACCTCATCAGCCCCAACGGCAGCTTCCCTGACAAATAGGAAACTGAAGCTTAATCCCTCAATTGCACCAAAAATATGTACGTTCGCATTTTTATTTATTTATTTATTTATTTATTTTTGAGACAGGGTCTCGCTCTGTTGCCTTGGCTGGAGTGCAGTGATGCAAACACAGCTCACTGCAGCCTCGACCTTCTGGCTCAAGCCAGCCTCCCACCTCAGCCTCCCAAGTATTTAGGATTACAGGTGCAAGTCACCACGCCTGGATTTTGTTGTTGTTGTAGAGACAAGGTCTTGCCGTGTTGCCCAGGCTGGTCTTGAACTCTGGCCCTCAAGCGATCCTCTTGCCTCAGCCTCCCAAAGTGCTGAGCCATGACATCTGGCCTTAACAGGTTTCTAAAGGACTCATATATATACACACAGAGACTATATATGTAGTACCATTTGAGCCTCAACTAGTCTCGTAAGGTAGGCAAGTAGAGCTTTGTTATAATTCCTTTATAGAACAAGCTCAGAGGGGTTAGGTGACTGCCCAAATGCACACAGCAGTTGTACGGCATTATTCAGGGCCAGAGCAGGGCAGGGTTCAGCCTTCCCCTAGCCCACTGAACTCCTTTGTTTGACCCCAAGACTGACAGCACTGGTGTTTTGTGATCCAGGGTCTCCCTCCCCGAGGAGCCCCCCACGGCCCCTCCGCAGAATGTCATCGCCAGTGGTCGCACCAACCAGTCCATCATGATCCAGTGGCAGCCGCCTCCTGAGAGCCACCAGAATGGAATTCTCAAGGGCTACGTCATCAGGTGGGTGTCCAACCTGGGAACGGGAGCCCAGACCCGAGGGGAGAGGCACAGGGGAAGATCAGGAGTGGACTGGAAAGCCGTGCAGATTCATGGCAGGCCCTTCGCCGTCTAGCGAGGACCAGGCAACAGGAAATGCCTCCACAGTGGTAGGATGGATTTAGGTTAGACACCTAGCAGAACTTCCAGCAGCAAGGCCCCTGGACACCAGCAGGAATGCTTGAGAGAGGAGGCTATGTGGGCTGATGTAGGAATAGGCCTACAGGGAGACAGGAGAAGAAAGAGGTAACTATCTTATCCGAGGGGCAGGCCCCCTGGGAAGCCACAAATGTTCCCATGAGTGGAAAAACCAGGTGGCCAAAGAATCGATGGAAAAGTGAAAGTTCTTTCTTTGGTTCTTACTGGAGATGAAGCCCTATTATACAGATCCTTATCTTTGCATCTGACTGAGGGATTATATAGTAGTAACCTAAATGAGAGTCATTAAAAGTCATTGGCCAGGTGCAGTGGCTCATGCCTGTAATCCCAGCACTTTGAGGAGCCGAGGCCGGTGGATCACCTGAGGTCAGGAGTTCGAGACCAGCCTGGCCAACATGGTGAAAGCCCATCTCTACTAAAAGTACAAGAATTAGTCGGGCATGTTGGCATGCACCTGTAATCCCAGCTACTTGGGAGGCAGAGGTTGCAGTGAGCTGAGATCGTGCCACTGCACTCCAGCCTGGGCAACACAGCAAGACTCCATCTCAAAAAAAAAAAAGTCACTAAAACGTGGGATTCATAAGTTCAAATTCCTAAGTTATCTGAAGTTACTGAGAACTCTTATTGATAGTCTAGATTCTGCCTCATTCCTGCACGTACACACCCTCACAGTGGAGTGGTTTGACTGCTCCACTATTGGTTGATTTTGTTGTGGGTTTTTCATTAATCCTAAAGAGCGGTGGTTCTCAAAGTGCGGTCCCAACACCTGCAGCATCAGCCTAACCCAAGAACGGGTCAGAAATGCAAATTCTCAAGTCTTATCCAAGACCTCCCAAACTGGAAACTTTGAGGATAGCCTCAGAAACCTCCACTTCTAAAAAAAGGTCTTCCAGCCGGGCATGGTGGCTCACGCCTGTAATCCCAATACTTTGAGAGGCCTAGGAGGACAGATCACAAGGTCAGGAGTTCGAGACCAGCCTGGCCAACATAGTGAAACCCTGTATCTACTAAAAATAAAAAAATTAGCCAGGTGTGGTGGTGGGCACCTGTAGTCCCAGCTACTCAGGAGGCTAAGGCGGGAGAATCACTTGAACTGGGAGTCAGAGGTTGCAGTGAGCCAAGACCACACCACTGCACTCCAGCCTGGGTGATAGAGTGAGACTCCCTCTCAAAAAAAAAAAAAAAGTGTTCTAGGAGATTTTGATTCATCTTGAGGTTTAGAGAAGCAGTGTTTCAGGGCATTGCAATGCATTGGAATACTTTGAGGTCCTTAATTTTCCAATAATTAGATGCCAAAGTATATATGCATTGTGTTTCTCAAATGAGTGATCGATCCATCCTTCATGTCTGACACCCCAAATTTTTTTTACTTCTTTAGTGTCATGCGTTCTTTTTGCCAGTGGAGGTAGAAATGGGTAGAGTAGGTGTTTCATTCCACCTGGGTGAGTAACTCTCAGAAGAGGGAGGCTGTATCCTAGAGGGAGAAAGAAAGTGAGCCCAGCCTTCTAGGAGACAGCTCTCCTGTCCATGACCTCTCAGAGGCTGAGACCTGTGAAACCTGCCCTGGGACCTCTCAGTGCCCCTGGTTAGCAGCCCTCTCCCCCAAAAAGAATAGTCCACACGGCCAGGTGCGGTGGCTCACGCTTGTAATCCCAGCACTTTGGGAGGCCAAGGCGGGCAGATCACAAGGGCAGGAGATCGAGACCATCCTGGCCAACATGGTGAAACCCCGTCTCTACTAAAAATACAAAAATTAGCCGGACATGGTGGCACGTGCCTGTAGTCCCAGCTACTCGGGAGGCTGAGCTGGAAGAATCTCTTGAACCCGGGAGGCAGAGGTTGCAGTGGGCCAAGATGACACCACTGTGCTCCAGCCTGGCAACAGAGCAAGGCTCCCAAAAAAAAAAAAAAAAAAAAAGGAATAGTCTAGACACATCCCCTAGACCTCTGCTCTCCAGTAAGGTAACCATTAGTCAACTCTGGCTACCTAAACTACAGTTGACCCTTGAACAATGTAGGGGCTGGGGTGCTGACTCCCACATGGTTGATAATCCATGTGTAATTTTTTTTTTTTTGAGACAGGGTCTCACTCTGTTGCCCAGGCTGGAGTGCAGTGGCTCAATCTCAGCTCACCGCAACCTCTGCCTTCCAGGTTCAAGCAATTTTTCTGCCTCCGCCTCCTGAGTAGCTGGGATTATAGGCACCCACTATCATGCCTGATTTTTTTTTTTTTTTTTTTTTTGAGATGGAGTCTCACTCTGTCACCCAGGCTGGAGTGCAGTGGTGCAATCTCGGCTCACTGCAACCTCCACCTCCTGGGCTCAAGTGATCCTCCTGCCTCAGCCTCCCAAGTAGCTGGGACTACAGACATGTACCACCACGTCCAGCTAAATTTTTTTTATTTTTAGTAGAGACAGGGTTTCATTTTTTTGGCCAGTCTAGTCTTGAACTCCTGACCTCGAATGATCCGCCTGCCTTGGCCTCCCAAAGTGCTGGGATTATAGGTATGAGCCATTACACCCAGCCTGCTGGCTAATTTTTGTATTTTTAGTAGAGATGGGACTTCACCATGCTGACCAGAGTGGTCTCGAACTCCTGACCTCAAGTGATCCACCCACCTCATCTCTCAAAGTGCTGGGATTATAGGCATGGGCCACCATGCCCAGCCCAATCCACGTATAATTTCTGACTCCCCAAAAATTTAACTACTAATAGCCTACTGCTGGCCAGAGCCACATCTATAGCAAAACAGCTGATTAACACATATATTTGTATGCATTTATGACGTACCTTTTTCTTAATTTTTTGATATTTCTAGGCTGTTTTTTCAAATTGTCACAAATCTCCAAAATTTTTTCTGATATGTTCATTTTTAAAATTCTGTATAGCCAGACATGGTGTCTCACGCCTATAATCCCAGCACTTTGTGAGGCCAAAGCGGGTGGATCACAAGGTCAGGAGTTCAAGACCAGCCTGGCCAGAATGGTAAAACCCCATCTCTACTAAAAATACAAAAAATTAGCCAGGCATGGTGGCGCACGCCTGTAGTCCCTGCTATTCAGGAGGCTGAGGCAGGAGAATTGCTTGAACCTGGCAGGTGGAGGTTGCAGTGAGCCAAGATCACACCACTGCACTCCAGCATGGGTGACAGAGCGACACTCTGTCTCAAAAAAAATTTTGAATTTATTTCCTTGGTTACGCTAAACCACATTTCAAGTGCTCAGCAGCTGCCTGTGCAGGTGGTCACCCCGTCGGACAGCACAGATGCAGAGCACTTGCGCCATCACGGGAAGTCCTGTTGGGCAGCGCTGCTCCAGACAATTTCCTGGGCACGGGGCCCAGCAAGCTGCTTCTGACTCCACTGTGCCTCGCCCCTTCCCCTCAGGTACTGCCTGGCCGGCCTGCCCGTGGGCTACCAATTTAAGAACATCACAGATGCTGATGTGAACAACCTGCTGCTGGAGGACCTCATCATTTGGACCAACTACGAGATCGAGGTGGCTGCTTACAACAGCGCCGGGCTGGGCGTCTACAGCAGTAAAGTCACGGAGTGGACGCTGCAGGGAGGTACGTAGAGACGGTGGCCTCAGACCAGGCACGGTGGCTCATGCATGTCATCCCAGCACTTTGGGAGGCCAAGACCAGAGGCCTGCTCAAGCCCAGGAGTTTTAAACCAGCCTGGGCAACGCAGGGAGACACCATCTCTGCAAAAATCTGAAAAAAATTAGCTGGGCGTGCTACGGTGGCACAGCTACTCAGGAGGCTGTGGCAGGTTGGTCGCTTGAGCCCAGGGGTTTGAGGCTAACCTAGGCAACATCGTGAGACCCCGTCTCTACAAAAAATGAACAAAACTATCTCAGTGTGGTGGTCCATACCTATGGTCCCAGCTACTTGGGAGGCTGAGGCAAGAGGATTGCTGGGGCCTGGGGAAGTTAAGGCTACAGTGAGTTGAGATCATGCCGCTGTACTCCAGCCTGGGTGACAATGTGAGACTGTCTCAAAAAAAATGAAATGCAAAGGAACTCTGGCCTCAAAGGAGCAAGTGCTTTTCCTGCTCCCAGATCCTGTGCCTGCTGGGTGCTGTGCCTGTCCAGACCTGAGAGCCTTGGCTGTGTGGCCGTTCTCACGAGGCCCCTGCTATTGCACCCTGGGGCTGGAATCACCACCCCATGCCAAGCTACCCTACAGCGTGGGAGGACTGAGTGGAAGAGGAAGAGGAGGCTGGCTTGGACATGGTGAAAGGCAAGGGCTCCAAGCATATGGGGACCTTCTGTGAATTTCAGGTGAGGTAGATCATGAAACAGCTTACCTCCTGAAAACCACACCAGAGCATTTTTCATCCCCACACCTTTTATTTACCAGCACCCTGCAAGGTGGGTCAGGCAAGTTTTATTTAACGCAAACTAATCCAGAGAGAATATGAAGGCCTCTTAAGTCTACACAGTGAGGGAGGAGGTGGGGTGGGGTCGGGGGTGCAAGGCAGAGGCTATACGCCCTCATCCCTGCATTTTTCTCCCGTTCTCTCCTCTAGTTCCCACAGTTCCTCCAGGCAATGTGCACGCAGAAGCCACCAATTCCACGACCATCCGCTTCACCTGGAACGCCCCCAGCCCCCAGTTCATCAACGGCATCAACCAGGGCTACAAGGTACACGTGGCCTGTCCTCACCCAAGAGGAGGCCCTGAGATCCTCTGGGGGAGGTTCGGAGGGGTGACAGAGGGGGCGGGAGGAAATCCCCCCTCTGTTTCTGAAGTCATTGGCTTAAGTCAAGCTGGGGACACACATTCGGGGAAAAGAGCTGCAGGCTTTCCCCAAGGCCACATGCAGGCCACGGAAAGTGGAGACACTGCCACCCAGTGCCAAGGTCCTTCTCAGCAAGAACCCACAAAACCCAGGCTCAGAAACACCTGGTGTATGGGCCAACCACAGTGGCTCACATCTATAATCCCAGCACTCTGGGAGGCTGAGGCAGGTGGATCACTTGAGGTCAGGAGTTCAAGACCTGCCTGGCCAACATAGTGGAACCCTGCCTCTACTAAAAATACAAAAATCACTCCAGGCATGGTAGCTCATGCCTGTAATCCCAGCACTTTGGGAGGCTGAGGCGGGTGGATCACTTTAAGTTAGGAGTTCAAGACTAGCCTGGCCAACGTGGTGAAACCCTGTCTGTACTAAAAATACAAAAATTAGCTGGGCATGGTGGTGGGTGCCTGTAGTCCCAGCTGCTTGGGTGGCTAAGGCAGGAGACTGTCTTGAACCCAGGAGGCAGAGGTTGCAGTGAGCCAAGATCGAACCACTATACTCCAGCCTGGGTGACAGAGTGAGACTCCATCTCAAAAAAGAATACAAAAATTAGCCAGGCGTGGTGGTGAGTGCCTATAATCCCAGCTACTGGGGAGGCTGAGGCAGGAGAATCGCTTCTACCTGGGAGGCAGAGGTTGCAGTGAACCGAGATTGTAGCCATTGCACGCCAGCCTGGGTGAGAAGAGCAGAACTCCATCTCAAAAAATAGAAATAAAAAAGAAACACCTGGTGTAGCCATGTCCCCATGAGAAAAATCCAGCATTCACTTCTTACCATGGCTCTTATGGGCTTCATGCTGGAAGGTATCCCAGGCTGCACTTGACTCCATGTAGTGTGTGGTTAAGGGCACAGGACTGGGACTCAGAAAGACTTGGGTTACAGTCCCAGCTCTGCCTCTTGCTGGCGACCTGCACACATGCTATAACACATCTCTGCTTCTGTCCTTCAATCAATTTATTGAGCACCTACTCTATCCACTTCTCGCACCACTGAATAACTAAAATAAACTCGGTTTTCCCGCTTGCAAATGAGGATAATAACAATACCCGCCCCTTGGAGTTGTGCGAGGATTAAGTGAGATAATATTTATCCTTTGTTCAGCACCATGACAAACACATTATAAGCTCTTGGAAAGTGATTTCAGTAGTCGCAGAAATGCATGTGTTTGCTAGGACTGCTATAACCAAGTATCACAGACTGGGTTGCTTAAAGCAACAACCTTTTTGGCACCAGGGACCAGTTTCGTAGAAGACAATTTTTCCACGAACTGGGTGGGGAGGATGGTTTGGGGCGATTCAAGCACATGACATTTATTGTACACTTTGTTTCTATAACTATCATGGTGTAACGTATAATGAAATAATTACATTACTCCCCACAATGTAGAATCAGTGGGATACCTGAGCTTGTTTTCCTGCAACTAGACGGTCCCATCTGGGGGTGATGGGAGACTGTGGCACATCTCAGGCATTAGATTCTCATAAAGAACATCCAACCTAGATCCCTCGTATGCGCAGTTCACGGTAGGGTTCATGCCCCTGCGAGAACCGAACGCTGCCACTGACAGGAGGCGGAGCTCAGGTGGTGATGTGAGCACCGGGGGCAGTACCGAGCTCAGGTGGTGATGTGAGCACTGGGGGCAGCACGGAGCTCAGGTGGTGATGTGAGCACTGGGGGCAGCACGGAGCTCAGGTAGTGATGTGAGCACTGGGGGCAGTACCGAGCTCAGGTGGTGATGTGAGCCCTGGGGGCAGCACGGAGCTCAGTGGTGATGTGAGCACTGGGGGCAGTACCAAGCTCAGGTGGTGATGTGAGCACTGGGGGCAGTACCGAGCTCAGGTGGTGATGTGAGCGATGGGGGCAGCTGTAAGCACAGATGAAGCATCACTTTCTTGCCCGCTGCTCACCTCCTGCTGTGCCGCCTGGTTCCTAACAGACCACAGATTGGTACCTGGTGGTCAGTGGGGGTTGGGGAACCCTGGCTTAAACAACAGAAATGTATCTGTGCACAGTTCAGCGGGATACAAGATTCCGGTGCGGGCAGGGTTATTTCCTCTGAGGCCTCTCTCCTCGGCTTGTAGGTGTCCGCTTTCCCTCCGTGTCTGTGTCCAAATGCACTCTTCCTTTTTTTTTTTTTTGAGGAGGAGTCTCATTCTGTCACCCAATCTGAAGTACAGTGGCACAGTCTCGGCTCACTGCAACCTCCACCTCCCAGGTTCAAACCGTTCTCCTTCCTCAGCCTCCTGAGTAGCTGGGATTACAGACACGTACTACCAAGTCTGGCTAATTTTTTTGTATTTTTAGTAGAGACAGGGTTTCACTGTGTTGGTCAGGCTGGTCTCAAACTCCCAACCTCAAGTAATCTGCCCTCCTTGGCCTCCTACAATGCTGGGATTACAGGTATGAGTCACCATGCCCGGCCTAAATGTCCTCTTCTTACAGGGACCCCCGTCACATTGGATTAGGGCCCAATTCTGTCTCCAAATACAATCACATTCTGGGGTGCTGCGGGTTAGAACTTAAACATACAGATTTTGCGGGCACAATTCAGCCCGTAACAGATAACAATGGTAATTCAGCAGTAGTAACAGCAGTAGCAGTCCATTGGCTTTCCTTGTCACTGTGCCGAAAGTCAGGACTTTTCAGTCACCCCATCTTGGAATACAGACCTCAGACCGCAGGCCCGGCTCTCTGGTCCCATTTCACATGAGCCCGGTGCCTGTCCTCCCCACGGAGAGCTAAAGACAGAACACAGCATGGGAGATCTACACTATTTTCTTTTTTTAAGATGGAGTCTCACTCTGTCGCCCAGGCTGGAAGTGCAATGGCACAGTCTGGGCTCACTGCAACCTCTACCTCCCGGGTTCAAGTGATTCTCCTGCCTCAACCTCCCAAGTAGCTGGGACTACAGGCACTGACCACCACGCCTGGCTAACTTTTGCATTTTTAGTAGAGATGGGGTTTCACCAGATTGTCCAGGCTGGTCTTGAACTCCTGACCTTGTGATCCACCCACCTCGGCCTCCCAAAGTGCTGGGCTTACAGGCATGAGCCACACTCCCAGCCTACGCTATGTTTTAAAGGGGTAGGACCCGACCCCAGCAACGTGAGGCAGGTAGAAGGATGGCGCCCACTCCCTCCAGATGTGGGAAGGAAGGCAGAGATTTGAGGGGAGGCCAGCAGTGAAGCAGAGAGCACTGCAGGCCCTGAACTTCAGCCCAGGGAACTTGTGACCTCAAGGTGACCACTGACACATCCCGAAGCCTCCTGCAACCACTCTGCTCTGTGTTTGCCACAACTAAGATGAAATCTAGGATTCGCTGCCTTAGCGCTTCTTTCTCCAAGGTGTGGGAGACTGGCCAAGAGGGGACCAGGATGAAATCATGAGGAGGAGTTTCTGCTAATGTTGCAAGCAAACAGAGGGATGGTCCAGAACTGCATCTGACCCAGCTTCGCTCCGGCCTTCGCCCTGTCGCCCCCAGGAAGGCAGTGAACCCAAGGCCGAGCAGAGCTTTGCAGGGCAGGGAGCGGTAGCTGAATGCTTGGCGCACTTGCTGGCTAGAAAACTCTCCTAATTGGGACCCTGGAGGGAGGCAGGGGAGGCCAGCATTGCTGAAGAGCAGAGGAGCTGAGCTGGGAACAATTAGCTTCTTGCTGCCAATTCTAAGCACAAGTTTTATTCTTCATATGGGAGGGCTGAGCTACCAACTTTTAAGGCAGACAGCTCCGCCGAGGGTCAGGAAGGCCAGCCCGTGGCCAGGACAATTAGGGCAGTGACCCATGGTGACCCAGAGCAAGAGGAGGCAGCAGAGGCCACTGAATCCCCAGGTCCAGCCAGTGTCCAGCCCCCAGTAGCTACTTGATAAAGGTCAGTGGGAGGGAATTGCCCAGAAGTTTTGCGCACAGGAATTGGTGGAAGAGTGAGAACAGCTCACACTTACGGGGCACTTTTCCTGGCCAGGCAGTACACTGAATGCTTCAGTCTCATTCATCTTTCACACAAGCCGCACAGAGACTCTAGGTAGTTGTAATATCAGCCAGGCGCAGTGGCTCACGCTTGGAATCACAGCACTTTGGGAGGCCGAGGCAGGTGGGTCACTTGAGGTCGGGAGTTTGAAACCAGCCGGACCAATATGGTGAAACCTCGTCTCTACTAAAAAGACAAATATTAGCCAGGTGTGACAGCACGTGTCTCTAATCCCAGCTACAGACCTAGGAAGCTGAGGCAGGAGAATCACTTGAGCCCAGGAGGCGGAGGTTGCAGTGGTTTGAGATCGTGCCACTGAGCTCCAGCCTGGAAGACAGAGCTAGACTCCGTCTCAAAAATAAAAGGAATATTACCATCATCACACCCATTTTACAGAAAAAGAAACGGAGGCACCAGAAGGAAGTTACTTGTTCAAGGTCAAACACAGTGACAAGGTCAATGGAAAGCTTAGATTCAAACCAGAGCCTTCACTTTTCCTGACATTAAAAATAAAATGTCAGGCTGGGCACCGTGCCTCATGCCTGTAATCCCAACACTTTGGGAGGCCAAGGCAGGGAGATCCCTTGAGCCCAGGAGTTTGAGACCAGCCTGGGAAACATGGCAAGACCTCATCCTTACACACACACACGAAAAGTTAGTCGGCATGGTGGTATGTGCCTGTGGTCACAGCTACTCAGGAGGCTAAGATGGGAGGATTGTCTGAGCCCAGGATTCGAGGCTGCAGTGAGCTGAGATCACGCCACTGCACTCCAACCTGAGTCACAGAGCGAGACCCTGTGTCAAAAAAAGACAGAGAGAGAGAGAGAGAGAGAGAGAGATTGAGAGAAAATGTTATTTTTAATTGTAAATAACATTTT